CCATGTTTTAGGTCTTAAAAACATTATTTCTTTTTATTGCATTTGAGGAAGACATATTTTACTGATTTGTCTGAGAAGACACAGGTAGAGTTAAGACTACTGATAGAACACTATGAGCAAGCAGATGTTCACAACCTTATAAAAACTGAATAGAAAACAGAGGTTTGGAAACATGACATAAACCTGCATCTGGCTATTCACATACCTTGTTTTCTTCACCTGAATGCTGCTACTGAGTTTTTCCAGCACATATTCACCAGTGTCATGATTAATAATAAGCACACAGTCTTTCTGGTAAGGCCGTTTGTTCCCCTTGAACACAGTCATGGGTGGTGTGGATCCCTATTTGCCACAAAAGTATAAGATGATCAAACTAAACATACCAGTCATGAATATCCAACTGAATTTATAGATGACTCTACCTGATGAAATCTTTCATCAGAGCTATTCAAAAAGAATAGGTTGAACCGATTTCTATTTTTAACTCCTGGTTTCCCAGGCAAAAATAAAGGAGAAATAATATAGCAAGCATCTGTGAATGTGCAACACATTCTAAGTAATCAAAAAGGTAGTACAAAAATTTTAAATTACTATATACATTCTGAGAGAGAAAAATTAATTAACCATTACTTGCACTATACTAAGCAGAGTTATCTCTGTATAGTAAAACTGTGAGTGATCTCTTTATTTTGTGAGTGATCTCTTTACTTCTTTGTCATTAGAGAGACCAGGGTTTCCCCTTCTCATGTCAAGCAATCAACAGAGCATTTTCCAAGAGAAGATCATTATCCTGGTTGGCTCAGAAAAAATAAATCATGTCACTCATCTGCCTAAGCCTTTCAGTCACTCCTCAATTGCTCTCAAGTCAAAGGATAAAATCTTTAAATTAGCCACTTGGCCTTGCACTACCCGGCCCTTCCCTGGCTCTCCACCTCACCCTGCGGCATACTCCCCTGCACATGTGCTTCGGAGCAGAAGGCAACTGGCTTCTCTCTGATCCTCAAACTCTCTCCTGCCTCTGGGCTTTAACAAGGCTTCCCGCCGGCTATATGCTGCCCCCTCTCTTTAAATGACCAAACCTCCAGATCTGCTCACAGCTTACTTCCTTAAGGAAGTAAGATTCTGTAGAATAACAGCTATATTTTCTTGTGTTTATTTAAACTCCAGACCATAAGCTCCACAAGGGCAAGAAATGTGCTTGTTTTGTCCAAGGTTGTATTCTTCATGCCTAGTAATGGGCCAGCGTGTGGGAGGCGTTTGATTAATATTTGTTGAATATAGTATTTAATACCTTGCTTAGAATAAAAAAAAACCGCTTGGCTCTTTGACTCCTTATTTATTTAGTAAAAATATAGAGCTAGAAAGGACTTTAGGGACCATTTATCTAAACGTTTCATTTTACATATGGGAAACTAAGGTCCAAAGGGAGATGATGTAACTTGCCAAAGGCAACGAGTAATCAAATAGCAGTTTGAATGGGCAATTTTTCCTCAGCACAAAGCTTTCCAGATCTCTCTGTCCAGAGACTTTTCATTCTATCACCAGCTACCAAGAACTTATGTTCCAGAACAGGGGTGTGACATGCAATAAAACATGTTCGCTAAGAGCATCATGTGACCCTTTGGTGCTTTGTCATTAGTGCTGCCTTGGGTAGGGCTTCACAAAAGTCTTTCTCTGCAAGCGTTCTTAATCCAGCTTTCAATTTAGTTCTTCATCCCTAAATCAGCTGAGTGTGTCAATCTCTGGCTCTTGCCTGCCTTAACTCCTGGCTTGGTTGCCTCACACTCCTGAGCTGTTGTGGCCGTATAATCGGCAGGGCACCTAAGGCTTTTCTCTCTGGAGTTGCTTGGGAGAAAAGCTATATCTAAAAGAGGGGCTAGGTGTCCAGACAGGAACCTTGTCTACTTAGTGGCAGATAGGGGAAAAGGAAAATTGGGGAAAATGACGAATAATCTTGAATCTTGAATAATCTTTTATTTTTGAGAGGGAGTCTCACTCCATCGCCCAGGCTGGAGTGCAGTGGCGTGATCTTGGCTTACTGCAACCTCTACCTCCCAGCTCAAGTGATCCTCCCACCTCAGCTTCCCAAGCAGCTGGGACTACAGACATGCGCCATCACCCCCAGCTAATTTTTTTGTATTTTTGGTACAGACGGGGTTTCACCATGTTGCCCAGGCTGGTCTTGAACTCCTGAACTCAAGCTATCTACCCACTTCCACCTCCCAAAGTGCTAAGATTACAAGAATTTTTTAAATCAAGCACCTGCCTAGCATGAAGTCTACCCCACCCCACTCCCCAAAATTCCTTTTTTCCTTATGTTGCCACTTTAGAAATCTAAACATTTTTAAAAGTAGGAAGTTTAAATTGCAATAACATAAAAGATGAAGATCCATTGTGATCCTACATTTAAAAAAACAATGAAATAAACTCACAGGGATATGTGGCAGTGTAATTGTGACTTCATCTCCTTTGCCAACTTGAAGCTCTCCTTCACAGGAAGTGTCTATAGATGCTGGTTTAAAATCATCTAAAGGGAAAGGAAAGAAAACACTCACCCACCAGGTTACTTATAATAAGGGCCTCCTGGACATCTCCATTTAAGAATTAAATTTGTTATTACTCAGATGAATGAAAAATAAAAATAATTCAGAATTCTTAAAAACAGGTTTCATTATGGAAAACTTCAGATATACAAAAGTAGAGAAAATCGTACAATGAGCCCTGGTGTACCATTATCCAGTTTCTATTATTACCAACTCAGGGACAATCCTGTTTCATCTACACCTCTACAAACTTTTCCTCTGACCCCCTTTGGATTATTCTAGGGGGAAAAAAGAATTTACAGGCCATTTTATTAAAGATATTCCCTTCTCCCAAGGGAGAGATGAAAATTAAGAGCTCATCATCCATAATAAGTTGCTTTTTTAGGGTTGTGAGGATCAAAAGTAACAGCATATGAAAAAGATCCTGTGACTGTAAACTCTATGAAATATGAAAGGCCACAGCATTATCAAAAGCTGATTTCACTCTGCATAGAAACTGTCAAAATTAGGATTTGCCATACTCAAGTTCCATAGCTGTTTTCTTTCTTTCTTTCTTTTTTTTTTAAGTAGTGATGGGCCTACGCTGCCCAGGCTGGTCTCAAACTCCTGGGCTCAAGCTATCTGCCCGCCTCGGCCTCCCAAAGTACTGGGATTATAGTGTCAGCCACCACTCTCAGCCAGTTCTGCAGCTTTAACCAAGACAATTCTGTAGTTCATAGCAGACAACTTAACTGTATCTCCACAAGTTATCCTGCTCGTGTTTCTAAACTGCAGTCAGAGTACAACATGAATAGCCATCTTAATTCACATTCACATCTGCCTCAAACTGCAGGGCAGGTGCACACATGAACTGTATGATTTAAATTCCACATTGCCCTTCACCAAAAGAGAACATCAACTTAGTAAACTCTTCAGGAAATGATGTTCTTATCTCATTCCCAATCTCCTCTCTGAAAGAGCTGGATCTGCTGTCAGTAGGAAGCATAGTAATGGCATGGCAAGTGACTACACAAAGATGGGATTTCATTATCTAAGACGCCCTCTTCACATGTGTTGAGTCACATCTATCAGGTCCTCTGACAAAAACAAGTCTTAATAACAGCGTTAGCGCCACGGAAACCAGAAGTTCATGAATCACGGAGGGATGCTCTGTCAGCCAATTCCTAACTGCCAAACCTTCACCCAGGACATAGGGTGGAAGTGCACTCTCAACAGAGTCTATAATCATGTAGAAAAAGGTCCGGCATAATGACTATTTCGACATTCCTAACGCCTGCTCTCTTCTGCTTCCAAACATAGACCAATCTTTAACCTATCCCAGGCTCACGAACTCTGATTTGACTCTTTACCCACAAGGAACTTGGTCTGGAGGAAAAGCCCGTATGGTATAGGTGACCTCAAAAGACATCCAAGTCAAATGAAGCACAGAAAGGAGATGGAAGAAAACTCTGAGGCGCAGAGAGGATGCCAATTCTTTGGCTGTAAAGGGGACAAAGCGCAGTATCTGGGAGTCCAGAACCAAGTCGGAGGAGGAAAGCAGGGAAGAGAAGGGGTTCGGAGGGAGTGGATGAGGGTCGTAATAAACAAGAAGCGTCTTTTAACTGTGGAGAACCCTGATGGGAGCATTGGAAAGGAGGGGAGGGGTTTCGAGGAAGAAGTGGACCCGGATAAGAGGGGGGAGGTTTGCCTTGGGGGAGGGAGGTTTGCCTTAGGGGCGGGAGGTTTGCCTTAGGGGCGACGTCGGGGGAGGGGAGGGATGGAACCAAAACGAGGCCAAAGACCTTTGGAACTAGTGTTTGAGACTATAAAGTAGAAGAATAGTAGGGAGTGACGAAGATTTGGGAGAAATAATCTGGGTAAAAGAAGGGCCAACTCGAGGTCCCAAAGGATTGGGGGTTCGAGAGAAAGTAACTGACGCTGGCAGGGGGTTCCCTGGAATCTGAAGGGCCGAGGGAAGAAAGGAAGGAGTCAAGGTTGACATGTGGCGGCTTGAGCGGCCGAAGGGAACCGTGGGGAGCGCTGACTTACAACGAATAGTGTGAAAGGAGGCCCGCGGTCGCTTCTCGAAGCTCTCCCCGAGTCTCAGGCAATGTTCCTCGCGGTCCAGCAGCGGGTTCGCGGTCCCATTCATGGCCCCGCACCGGCCTCGCACCCAGATCGGCGCTCTCCTGGCGCAGCCGCGATCGGAGCTTCCGGCGCTGGCGCCTGGGAGGACTGTGCTCCCGGGACACCGCTCTAGGGGGCAAGGAGAGCAAAGCCGGCACCCACCCGGGTCCAGAAGCAAGTCCTGTTCTCTGCCTCGGGATAAAGGAAGACTCTGAAGTGGCAAGGCCGCTGGACTTCCGGCGTCGGGTAGGAACTTCCGGGTTGCTAGCGGAAGTGGCGGGGGCGGTGCCATGGCGAAAGAACTCCTCCCCGAGATTCCCAATTTGTGATCCTCAGAATTGGCTCAGGGTTGTTTCGCAGTTCCTCCCATATTCTGCCTCCGAGATCTGGGGCTGGCTGTAGGGTGAGTGCGCCTGGCCCTATCCCTACAGGTGAATTTAGGAACTGATGATGGTGATCCCTGAGCGTGGCTGACTAGATTAACGCGGGTCGGCTAGCCATCATGGACGCCCTCCTCAGGGTCCAGGGGCCCATGCGGCCTAGTCTATCCTGAGTGTCCTGAGATGGATCCTCGGGACCTCAGCCACGCGTCACTGGGTCTCTTTCTCCACTTTGCGCGGTGATGGCGGTGCGAGGGCCTCAGTCCCTGAAAAGTGACGTTCCCTCTGGTTCCTACGACAGCCTCTTGTGAGTGCGGTCAGGAAATGAGCCCACCCAGGCTTAGCTTCATTTCCCCCGAAAAAACGGAGCTCCGACCCTTGGGAAACGGTGACCTCACTTGTATCTGGCAATTGACCACCCGCTTCCAGCTAAGTCCATTGTGGTTTTTAAGTCACCCCTTTCGCGGGCACCGAAAATTGAGTAATATTTTCTTCGCAAGGTTTCCCAGTCAGTTCGTGACAGCGTCCTTTTTTTTTCTAAACTAAATCGATTTATTGTAATAGTTGACTCATCTGGTTTGAATAAAAGTATGGTGCATGAGATAGTCCTGGCCACTGAATGAGTTTAAGCCCTCTGAAGTTAGGGACTGTTGTCTTTGTCTTCTTTGTGACCTCTCATATGGCGGGGAGGATTTTTTTTTTGTACAGTCTGCATCTCATAAACATTTGGTGAATTGAACCTGGCGTCTTGAACCGTTCTAGAACCACTAACCAGAATCTCATTCTTTTGTCTGCGAAGCCCCTGTGCTGTTTGAGGCGTGAAACTCACCTGAGGAAATGCATCTGATCCGTTAGCATGGATTCATATTATTTGGGGATGGAGAATCTTCAGCTGTGTTAAGTGTTACCTTCAGTTTCTGAGATGACTTCTTTGCCAAGGAAGGGGCTGCAGGCAAGGGTTCTCAGCTCTGAAGAAGAGGAGAAACTGAAAAGAGACCAAACTTTGGTGTCTGATTTTAAACAGCACAAATTGGAACAAGAGGCTCAGAAAAACTGGGATCTTTTTTACAAAAGAAATAGCACTAATTTCTTCAAAGACAGACACTGGACCACCAGAGAGTTTGAGGAGCTAAGATCATGTAGAGAGGTAAGCTAATATTACGCCTTATCTGAGCTGTTCTTAATTTAAAATGTGAAGAGGGCCCAGTGCGGTGGCTCATGCCTGTAATCCCAGTACCTGGGGAGGCCAAGGCAGGCGGATCACGAGGTCAAGAGATTGAGACTATCCTGGCCAACATGATGAAACCCTGTCTTTACTAAAAATACAAAAATTTGATAGGTGTGGTGGTGCACGCCTATCGTCCCAGCTACTTGGGAGGCTGAGGCAGGAGAAT